AATTATACAACTTCAAACCTGCCATAGAAGAATGGCATCAAATACTAAAAACAAGGAATGATGAAGTAATAATATCCAGACTTCATATTGGATACTCCATGATAAAACATTCTTATATTCTAAAACAAGAGCCACCTCCAATCTGTACAGCATGCCAAGAACTATACACAATAAGATAAATTTTAGTAACTTCAGCCAAATTTGTTTAAAATACTATTGAACAACCAACATGAAAGAACTCTTTCAGGACCTTAGTGTGTATAATATCCTAAAATTTCTGAAAGAAATCAAACTGTATTCCAAAACATAACTTCAACAAAGCTACAACATAAAACACACATATTACCAATTATGTCCACACAAAAATGTATATTCACAAAAGTTGAGTATCAACTACCATGTATTCAATTGTGAAAGCAGAATAACATTTGTACTACTTCAGAGTATCCAAGAAAGTTAAATTTCAATATTAAATGACCCATGAGTTGATATACCATTAAACAAACAAACAAATCAGTCAATCATGTGCCCCAACCAATACATTTTTACATGTAAGTCTGTTCATAAATGATTTAGTCTCAATAGTATTTACTGCATACATCAGAGCATAACTCACCAATCCTACAAAGTTAATACTAACAAGAGACACAGAATTGCTTAGGAGATAGTTTTCTATTCTCCAAGAACCAAGCAAGCATGCTTCATTTGTGTGATGTCACATCTGAAAAACAGAAATCCTTTTTAAATTGTAAAGTACATCATAATTTGAATTGTGCCTGGTCCCTATAGATTCTAGTACTTATTCCTCAATATACAAAAAGAAAGTTGGGTCAGTATTGCAGTACATTCTGCTCAAAGCAATTTTTGCTGCTATTTGCATGCAAACATAAATAATAACAAACAAAACTTTAGTTATGCCTGCCCTATTGTGAAAACAATTAAAATCACTATTTTTTATGATACAATTGTACAAGTTTTGTTGAAATTCTTTGTTCTTCATTTTGTATTCCAAAATTATTTATGAGCCCATTTACTCAAAATTCTGCAATTTTGTTTGTTTTTTTAATTCAAATATTTATTCAAAAGGTCTTTAATTATAAAAAATAATTCACATGCACAATAATGTGTAATAATTTTTCAGAGTGCATTGATATTATACTTTGAATTCATCTTATGCAAATACAGAGGACCCAAAAGTGCAAATGCTGATCCTAAAGACAAAAGAGCTGATAAAGCAGTCATTTTTTACAGCTGTGATAGTTTGTTTTTTTAAATACAATCACCTTTTTCAATTGGTTTCTTTTTTTTCTTCAAAGATTTAACTTTGACAAAAGAAAGAAAAAAAGAAAAAAAAAAGAAAGAAAAACACAAACATTCTGAATTCTATACATTTTTTTTTTGTTTTTAATCAAAACTTGGGAAGAAATTAAGAGTGAAATTTTTAATTAACTGATTCATTTAATAATTCTTTTAATGCGACATGAAAAATTCCATCATTCTTAATCGAATCACTGAACTGCAAAATGAGAGAAATTCTTGTCATTCGCAAGTTAAAAAAAGGTTTATATTGCAATTTAGAGCGAGACAACATTATGGTGGTTTAGGTTTTATGATGAAATAAAAGTTGGGTACTGAAAGAAGGAGAATAATTAGTGTTGATTGAATCTTAACATCAAATGCAAACCAAGTCCTGAATGTTTTTGCTAAACATTTAATGTTTTTTCCTTACAGATTCCCACTGATTTTGTCGTTACTTCTCAATACAGCACTAAGCATTAAAAAAATTGGCGGTAGAAGTGGGGAGGGGGGTAAAGATTGTCAAACATTGCACTTATTGACCTAAAATTTGTTTGAAAAATGAAAAGGAAAATGAATTGTTAATATAGGTTAGGAGTTAATTTAATTATTTTAAAGCGTTATTCCCAAATAAAGCAAGCCTCATTAAAAAGTAAAAAAGAGGCAACTTCCCGTCCCCATAAGTAAGGAAGAAGGTTTCAAAATTTAGCTTGGAAACAATGACATTTGAATTTTAAATAATGATTGGCGTACTACTTCCTTCTTTCAGTGTTTGGATAAAATGATCATTTCACAAAATTTCGAAGTTTCAACTTAGATCCTTAAAAAAAATGTTTCTCCAGAATTTCTTCTTTTACTTTGTTTTTATAAAACAAAAATGGCTAAAAAAAAATGAAAATGAGATATTTGTACGAAAATGAAAGTTTTAAACTAAGGAAAACAAGTTTAGCAAAATATTTCATGTTGAAATGTAGTTTTTAATTTAATGGAATAAATAATTTTCTTAAAATGACTTAGAAAAACCTCCCCATCCTCTTTCTTCGCTACCGGCTTCTTTCATTCAACACAATATTATTCTTGACATGACTTTTTTTATGGTCGTAGAATTGTGGGAGAAAAAAAAATAATGTGTATTAAAAAAAAGTAAAAAATGATGAAATTGCATAGGCTTTTTTTTTTTTTTTTTTACTTCAAATCTCAATTTCCTGCATTTAATTTTCATGGAGAAAAATTAATAAGCAAGTTTTATAACCAATTAGCAAACTTTTTAAAATTAACCTATTGTTATTGTCTACCTAAAAAAAATATTTAAGTTAAAAAGGAATAATACTTTCAAAATTAAGTTTTATTTTTTTAAACTGAAAAAAAAAACAAAAAAAAAAAAAACAATGGAACATGAATTTTTTTTTTTTTTTACAAGTTTATCATATAGAAATAATTACATAAATTATTCATTAATGAAATAAAATAACAAAAAAACTAACGTTAACAACTCGCTAAAAGTAACTTTTATGAAGGTAAGTGCTCAAATAAATTACAAAATTAGTATAAAGCATTAAAACTTAAAAGACAGAAGAATTTCCGATTCTAAAGATTTTTTTGCAGGTAATGATTTTTTTTGTTACTTTGTAATTATTAAAAATACATTTTCTTGAAAGCACCCTCAATCAAATGCGAAAATAGAAGAAAAAAAAGCTTAATTTTCACATAATTTCGTTAATATATATATTATGTATGTATGTGTAAGGATTATTTTAAAAAGTAATAGGCATTTTCCTTGAAATAAAAGTTTGTTTTTTTAGGGGGGCTGCAGCATAAAAAAAACGCTGTTTAAGCATTTGTTTTTCCTTCAATGAACTGTTAGAAAAAAAATCAATGTTCGGTGATCTTTTAAGAAAATAAATTAATGCATAATTTAGAAGCATACAAAAGATAAATGCAGTGGATGTATTGCAAAAAGTGTTACCTTGAAACGTCGTTTAAGCTGCAGCAGCTGCTTCCATGCATGACTGTTTACTTTTGCAGGATGTCGGAGCAGAAAAGACTGCAGCAAACACGCCATGCTTACACAAGAATATGGCACGTATATCGGAGAAAGAGGAGATAATTTATGAAGTTATTACCTCCCTTGTTTTCGTATAGACGCAACCAAGACCCGTAATACGTTTATAATGCAATTTTCATAGAAATGTAAGCGCACATTTACACACGACCCCCCGCAAAAAAAAACAAAACAAAGAAAAAACAAACACACACACACACGTGTATGTGCGTGTGGAGATAATGCAACAACAGTGGGAAACCTTATTTCCACTTGCGTTCGGATACATCCTAACAGCTATGAATGTATGTGTGAGTGTTTATGAGGAACCTAATTGAAATAATAAAACAAAAAAATATTAATATAGAACCCAGTGTGTCTGAAAATTTATTTTTTAATATTTTTATTGTTCAACATATATATATATATATATATATATATATATATATATATATATATATATGGTCCAATTTTGTTCTTGATATATAAAATATCATTATCTCATATATATATATATATATATATATATATATATATATATATATATATATATATTTATATATTTTATAATATATAGTTTATATATTCAATGATTAATATAAACATTTTTTAATATTTTATATAGGAACAAATTAAATTAAATGTTCATTTATCTTTCCCTACTCTAAATTTCATCAACATTTTTGGGACAAAATATTGTAGGAAATTCTGTTGTCCAAGTTTTTTTTCCAAAATGTCTGAATTCCAAACAATAATAAAATAAAAATAGAGAAAATATGGGTATTACATTATATATATATATATTAATTGGCATTAATATATATATATATTAATGTCAATCTCCAATCAAATGTGTGATAACGGGGTATATTTATAAAAGTCAGCGTAAACAAGCATTTTTTAGAGGGCATTTCAGAGTCTTATCAGCTCTGAAGGGGTCGATTTGGTGAGGTCAGTATAATGTTTGAAAGACCCGAATCTGCCCAATGATCCTTTTCTAGAACATCACTGACGACGCCCTCTAGCGCTAAAAGAGCGTATATTCAAAGCAATTATGCCTCTTGATTCCTTGGGGAATATAAAGCCACAACAACATCTCTCCAATCAGTTCCGGGTGATCCTCTTCAGCTCAACCCATGTCGTGCTGGCTGCCTTCACCTCTGCGTCAGCACTATTGCACCAAGTTTGTTTTGGTCAACCCACTTTTCACTTCCTTTGTGGATTCAGTCAAGTGCCTGCCTGGTGACACTAGAAGCAGACTTGCAGAATATGTGGCTGATTCATCCCCATTTCCATTTCTTGATGTCAGTCTCGATTGGGGCTTGTCTGGTCCTGTCCCACAGTTGGTCATTGGAGACAACTTCCAGCCATTAAGGATGTTTCTGACATATCAGTTGGTTACCTGCCAGGTTTCTAAGCTGTAAAGTAGGACCGACTTGACATTGGTAATGAAGATCCAGATCTTGTTGCAGAGTGAGAGGGCTGCTGACCTCCAGATTGGCCACTGAGTGTTGAAAGCATGTCAGGCTTTGTTGATTCCGCACTTGATGTTTTCATCTGTCCCTCCCTTTTTGCTGATGAAGTTTCCCAGGTAGACAAACTTATTGACTTCCTTGATGTCTTCTTGGTTTAGTCAGACAGAATCTTGTTTTCTGTTGTTTACCCTCATGACCTCTGTCTTCCTGATGTTGATTTGGAGGTCAGTCTTCTCCACTTCTTCTGCAACATGATTTAGCTTCTTCTGCCCATCTTGTTTGTGGGAGAGAAGGCTGATATTGTCTGTGAAGTCCAGATCTTCCAGCTGCTTCATAAAGGTCTGCTGTAAACCAGTTCTCCTGCCTGCCATGTCCTGCCATATTATCCAGTCAACCACCAAAAGGAAGATCATCAGCAACAGTGAACATCCCTGACAAACACCAGTTTGCACTGAGAATGGTTCTGTCAGCTTCCCGTCATGGATGACTTGACAGGTGGTATCTTTATACAGTTGTTGGATGATGGTGATAAAATTTGGTGGAAAGCTGTAGTGTTGTATCAGTCTCCAGATACATCTCTGTCATACTATCAAATCTCTTGACACAGACTGAATACATGGGAGTCTGCCACTTCAGGAACTGTTTGATGGTAACGCACATTGTGGCGATGTGAATTTACAAACATATGTACATGAATGCAAAAGAATCAAAAAGGAGTAAGAATAGTCTTTAGTTGAGTTAAAGTCTTTGATCAGGGTTATTTACCAATGCCATTCCACTGAAACAGGATGCAACTTAAGGTCACAACTGTTGTTGGATATGATTTGCTCGAAGTCACTAAAACATGTTTCTTTCAGCAGACATTGGGGCAGCACGTAGGTAAAAGCTATGTAGCTATATCTCCTCTTGTGTTTGAACAGCTTAGAGACAGTTGCATCTGTTCCTGAAAGTTAAAATCTGTGGGTTTTTATAAGACATTTTTCCTGAAAATAGGCTCAATAAAAATAGGGTTTTAGTTTTCTCAAATATTTCACATGGTGATGTTAATTTCTAACCAATAGACACTTTGATTTAAACAGTGGAATTTTTTTGGCATATTTGTAAATAATATCTGTAATTGGGTGGAAAATAACCTTTGGATGTGTTTTAATATGGTATTCTTCTATTCCAACAGTTTCTTTTCTTTCACTTCTCACCTGTAGAGCTCACTTTTGTTTCCTTGTTTCCCTAATAACTACAACCTTAAAAAAAATTAAATGCAAGATCAATTGCCATCTTCTGTCTTCTTGAACTTCATTCATCTTTTGCCCTGTTGTCAATCCTCCCTATTCTCAATCTTCACTTTCACTTTCACTTCCTGTAACACCCTGGATACTAATGGCACTACCATCTAGCTTGGAGTGAAATGATTTAAAAAAATTAATGTGGGTATGAAATTATGTTGAAAATAAGGCTTATTTCCTATGATACAATCTTTTATGATATATATATATATATATATATATATATATATATATATATATATATATATATATATATATATATCCATAGACAACCTATTTCACTGTATCACAGCTCATCAGTGTGATAGACATTTGATTCCTTCAAGCCAAGATCAAAATTCAACTGATTTGACATCAGTCAGACTCTTACCCCTAGGTTATCGGTGCACAGCACAGAAAGGGAATTTTTAATGCATTATATATGTGCTATATAATCACAATACCAGCCACTATAGCACCCAATTCTTACAAAGAGCAATACATTAAAGCAGCAGCAGCCATTAAAAATTCTCTTTTCTCCATAGTGTTCAATTAGTGAACAAGAGCATAAATAGTCATCCACAGACAACCTGTTTTGCTGTATCACAGCTCATCAGTGTAACTAGACATCCAATTGCTTCAAGCCGGGATCAAAACTCGACCAATATTTTCTGTTTATACATTATTTTTATAGGTACAATTTATTGAAGTAAATGCTCAATTTTTTAATTAAAGAGTATTAATTACATTTACCAGTCTGAATGTTTGAGAAATTTCATAGAAAATATGTGTTCCCCAACAGAAACCAAACCTGTATTCCTATATAGAAACCATTATTTGATCTGACGTGGTATACTATTTAGCTATAGAGAAGCATCTGGTTAGCAAATGACAGTTTCCATCTAAGAATACATGTTTGTTTCCTGTCAGAGGTTTGATTCTTGTCGGAGAACATATTTTCTAAAAAATTTCTTGAACATTTAGGCCAGTAAATGTAACTTATACTGTTTAATTAAAGAAAAAGAGCATTTGCTTAAATAAACTGTATTTATAAAAATAACATATAAATAGAAAATATATTAAAATAATTGTTGGACTTAATCCATTTCATTATATGGATTAAGTCCAACAATTATTTTAATATATTTTTATATATATATATATATATATATATATATATATATATACAGGTAAGATGAGAATGAATAGAGTACAATTCCAATGTTTGTAACATTTAATTTAAAAGAGGGCTCAATACAAGCAATACTATTTATTTTAGGATATTACACTGAAAACATGTCAAAATCACTACACAATTGCAGTGGTGTTTCAATGTGTATCAATGCATCTTATCAGGCGATTGTAAATTACTGGTGAGTAAACGATTTATTTAGATTTAAAAGCCACATACAACCTCTTTTTACAAAAACAGAAAAATGGGGAGGGGTTATGAGGTTTGTGGGCTTTACTCTGATCAACCAATCAAGTATGACCTATGTTAAATTTAAACTAAGCTTCAGTAAGGTATTCTTTTTCTTTGTGGGCACCAGTTGACTGACCCTTGGTATGGGTTTCTCAACTGGCTGGACAAAATCAATCTTGGTTAGTCTGTCCAGCCTTTCCTTTAATTGAGGGTGGATGACTACAGGCATTCTTTTATTGAGTATCACAACAAGGAGAGCATCTGGATTCAGCTGTAATTTTTTTGTTGGGATTCAATTTGGCTTCAACTGTAGTTTTTTTGTTGGGATTCAATTTGTTATTTTACTTTATGATGTTAAGCCTAATGTTTCTGTCAATGCATGGACAAGGTCTCAGTCAGTGGCTACTAGCTGTCAATCCCTTTCCTGTGTGTGTATGTGTGGATGCATCTGTACAAACAGGCCTACAAAATTGTTTTAAGTATCAAGAGGCTCTAGGTTTCTATTTTTATAAGCATAAACGTGGCCAAAATCTAATTTTACATAAGAGGTGTGAACTTTTTGAATATTAGGTTTTCATTAGTTAGAAAATAATTTCACAATGGCTTGTTAAATTTTTTTTCTTGAATTCATGTGAGTGGTGAAGGGAGTTATCATTGTTATTTTCTAAATGCCCCCAGAAGTAACAAGTGGTAGGTCTGCAACTACGTCTACCAAATATTTTGGCAGTACTTGCCCTAGTAATGATTGTTTATCAAACAAACCTTCTGATAGGATTTTATTGGTTGAAATATATATATATATATATATATATATATATATATATGATTTAATTCCTATACTTTTCTTATATTATATTATTCTGTGTATTTGTATTTACAACAGTTATACTTTTCTCATTATCTATATTAACAATCTATTTGTTTCTATATACAACTGCTCATTTTTTCTTAATATCTATACTATTATTCTGCTGGTTTGTTATACTTTTCTTATTACTTGTACTATAATTCTGTTAAATTTATAACTTTTATTCAAGAATTAAAACAAACAAGCATAAATATATATATGTTAGAAAGAAAACATTTTATTTGCACAATTAGAGAACTTGAATGTATATTTAGGTAGTGAAACAGGTATACATTAATATAGAAAAGAGAAGTGAATTAATATCTTATTTGATAGCTGATTTGGTCATGCATTGTGTTAGTAATGTGTCTAGGCCATGAACAAAAAGAGAAATTATGACTGAGAACAAAAATGCAATGATTTTTAAAAATTGGCTCTTACTGATAAGGCAACTTGCATTTTACATCTTTTCACAAGATTGTTGTTTGACACATTTATTAACCTTTGATATGTGCATAAATTATAATTAAGTCAAGGCAGATGTTTTATAATGGCATGGGTTAAATACTAAAGTAGACTGAGCTCCTTAGTCTTGAGTGACAACCAGTCTGAGAGAAGAAAATCTTTGATTTCAAAACCATTGAGAAGGTAATAAGAAACTACTACACTATTACTGCCAGGATGTCATCACAATTCATAGACGATAAAGAAAAAGAGAGCCTATAATCACCTACTTCCAGAATAGAAATGGTATTAAAAACAGTCCTCAAAGTACCCCTATGATCAGGACCAGATTAGGACCTTTTGGAAACCCTAGGCTAATGAAATTATGGCACCCATTTCATCCTCTGATTTTCTTGCAACTATCTTGAATATTTTTTACTTGTAACATATTTTAGTGACAGTTACATAACTTGAAGTTAACTTATTGCAAATTCTGTAAATAAACTAGAATAGCTATCTTTTGTTTGTCAATAAAAATATTCTATAAGAAATACTGTTATTTTATCAATTATTGCAAACTAAATTAGCACATATTTCAACACAACTGTAGTAAAAAAAAACAATTTTTTAATGTTTTTTAATGAACTCTGGGGTACCCTCTGACACCTCAAATTATATCCTTATTAGACACTTACCTCTTTTCAACAAAGTATTTGAGGTCTTAATCAATTGGTTAAGCATATTACTTTGCACAACCTCCTTTCAGACAAACAATATAGCTTTTGTTTTCCCAGGTCTACTGCTGATGTGTTAATGGCCATCTCAAGCTTTAGATAAGAATGGTGATGCTCAGGCTGTGGCTTTAGATATCTTGAAGGTGTTAGACAGGGGTTTGCATGCTGGCTTTCTATGCAAGCATGAGGGCTAGTGTCATGGGACATGTATTTGGCTTAATCCAATTGTGCCTAAACAATTGAGTAATGAATGTTGTGTTGAGTAGGCATACTTCTAGATCATTTCATACTAATGCAGGAGTCTTCCAGGGCTCTATCCTTGAACCTACATTGTTTCTGATCTTCAATGATCTCCCTGATATCACAAATTCCCAATTAGGTATTTATGCAGATGACACAATGATTTACATCTATCTTAGTAGCAAATCCAACAAATCCAATAAAATAACCCTGGCAACTACTCTTTAAAGGGACCTTCAATCAGTGGTTAACTGGGGCAAAAAATAACTTGCAAATTCAAATGCCTCCAAAACTAAACTGCTTTCATTTAATCACCACAAAGAACCTTTTCTGCCTATCATCAACTCCAAGAGAGCAACACTCTATGCCTTCTTGGCTTCACATT